CCACCGCCCTCCACTCTGTCCCCCACCGCCCGAGTACGCCGCACGTCAGTGCTGTTCCCAGTCTCACCCGTCTGGGATTCCTCCCATCTGTGCATACGTGGTGATGGTGGTGCTCGGAACCACTCATGAGAGGAGGGGTGCGGCAGGGTCCTGGGAGCCAAGCTGTCTAATTGAACCCTGGTAACTGTGAGAAAGTCCTCAGCCTCGCAGTTAGGTGGAGGGAGCCCGTGGGACCCGTCCTCCTGCTCTTCAGGGCCCTGGGTGGGGTTGGTTGTAGAGGCAGTGGCGGTGGAGGAGTTGCCACGGGGAGCCCAGAGCTCAGGGCACAAGTTGCCAGCCCTTCCTGGGCTCATCGGGGGCTGTTCTCTCCTCCTGCAGATGATCGACCAGGGCCTGATCCTGCAGGACGGGTCCTACTTCCGGGACCTGTGGAACATCCTGGACTTCGTGGTGGTGGTCGGTGCGTTGGTGGCCTTTGCTTTGGCGTAAGTAACCCCTTTTTCTCACTCAGTTCCCTTCCTTCCCTTCCTCCTGAGACTGGCTGATGAGAGGTCTTCTCCAGGGCCAGTCTGAGAAATAATTCACTCAGTGGTGCCAGCAAATGCTGCCCTGGGGGCTGCTTCCCCATCGCCCTTGGCTCAGCTCCTAAGAGCCGGTAGCTTCAGCTCACTCGCCCTGAGGGGTAGGGCTGGTGAAGGAGGGGCAGGGAGAGTCTGTAGGGAGAAGTCAAAGCCCTGGAGTTCCCTCCTGTGTGATGAGGAAGCCTGCGCAGGCCTCCCCTGTGTGGGCAGTGCCCCCACAGGCTCAGGGAGGGACCCAGGGACAGGTGACAGACCCTTTCCCTGCTTGATTCTGTCAAATGGAGGATCAGCTTGAAAGAAGAATGCAGAGGGTGAGCAGAGCTGAGGATCATAGAATCCCGGGCCTGGGGAGACGCCCTGTGCATGAGCAGGGGTGCCCCAGCGCTGTTCTAGGAACGTAAGAACCGTGGTAATATGTTAGTAAGCTCTGGAAGGGAAGACTTTCCAACCTTCCTTGGTAACACACTTAGCAATATCGTCTTAAACCATTCGGGAGACTAAACCATGTTTATTACATTAGGGTTTTTTGGTTTTTTGTTTTGTTTCTTTGTTTATTTTTCAAACATTGATCCAGGCAAGGGCTCTCTTAGCCCTCTGGGATGTAGGAAGGAAGTAGGCCTGTGGTCAGGGCCTTTTCCCTGAGTTAGTGGTTAGAGGTCCCAGAAGATGAATGACAGCCTTTGGGGTCTGTCTGTACCTTGTTCCGCCATCAGAGCAATATCACCGTCTCCCAGAGAGAGCACAGCAGAATTCCCTCCAGCCTCTCTGAGCATGGAGGGAGCCGTGTCTTCTAGGCAAGGCTGGCTACACCGTGTGATGGGGCAGACGGCAAGTGTTCAGGAGCTGCCATCATCGCTGCAGCTACAAAAGGGAAGGAACCAAACACCACCATAGATTTGACCTTCCCGGATCCAAGTGGTCAAAAAGGGACCATCCATCCCACCTTCTCCCCAGACACTGTCAGCTTCCATCCCTGTCCCTTCTGGTGGAGAAGGAAATGGGGTGAGAGTTAAGGAATGTTCCTCTGTGGCTGGGGGTGGGGAGCCCTCTGTCTGTAAGAGAGATGAGGGGTTCCCTGCTATGCGAAGAGTTTAAGATCTCCCAGAACCTAGAAGTGGACGTGTCCATTGCTGCACTGGCCATGGGGGGCCCCCCAGAGGAGAGCTGGGCTGGCAGTCAGGACAATTCTAGTGTCCTGTTCCTTAGGCCCACCAGTGTATTAACCCATTAGATTCACGTGGAGTCACTGTGCCGCTCACAACAAGGAAGCCTCTTACTGGGCGTGGCTGAGCTGTTTGGGAGGAAATTACACAAAAGTATGGACTTTTTCCCAAGCATCTGGATCCTGTATGGACTCTCATAGCAGGGTAAAAATAAAGGTGATTCTCGCTCTCCGGAGGGGACTCCCCCTCCTCTTCCTCGTCCTTCGTGGAAAGAAGCATCAAAGTTGGCCTTCGTCGGGGAGGGTGCAGCTCAGCGGTACAGCGCATGCTTAGCATGCATGAGGTCCTGGGTTCAATCCCCAGTACCTCTGCTAAAAAAGAAAGAAAGAAATAAACCTAATTACCCCCCCCCAAATTTAAATAAAATGAAATAAATTTTTTTTTTAAAAAAAAGAAAATTGGCCTTCGCCCTGAGAAGGTCCACCTTTTTGGTCAGAGAGAAATCTTACCCCGAGCTTTTAAAGTCAGGGTCCCTTCTCGTTTTACCAACTCATTTGCATACACTGTTCACCGTACTTTTCTTCTCTGTTATTTTTGATCTCAGTAAAATAAGTTGTCTCTCTTTGAAGAAATAAAGGACAAGGGGAGAGAAGCATGTAGGAAAGAAGCCGCTCCCTCTGGAGGAAGAACAGGGCTCGCTGGGCTGGAAGGAGGGGCCTGGGCTGTGGAGTCAGGAAGGCACTGGCTGGAATCCCAGCTCCTCTACTTCCCAGTTTCATGGCCTCGAGCAACATCGCAGGATACTAACCCTCTTAACCTCAGTGTCTCATCTCGGCCGTAGAAACAAAATACCGTGTGTCGAGTGCTTAGTCCAGGGCCTGACACAGTGTGAGTGATGCAGGAATGTGAACTCCCCCTCTTCCACTCCCATTCTCCATCACGTGGTGAAGTCTGACTAGGGAGCAGAAGGTGTGTGGAGGCATCAGTGGAAGATGAGCACAGGCTGGTTTCCACGCCATGGCGGTTGTGTGTCCAGCACACACCTGGCCTGGGTCGGTGCCGGTGGGGAGGAGGTGTGTGTGAGAGGAAGCCTCTGCGGGCCTCCCCAGGTCTGCAGTCCAGCCCTCTCTCCTCAGATCCGGGGCAGCGACGCTGGGCTGGAGGGCCGTCACCTGTCTTGTTCTTTCTTTGTGCCTTTTGAAACTTGGCGGTGGTAGTTTTGGTGCTGGCGGCAGGGGGAGCCTTAACCGCCCGGAGCCGAAGCCTCTCTGTTGGTGCTCAGACCAGGTACAGTGCAGGGAACCCCAGGAACCCCCTGGTCCTGGGGTCCACGCGTATGTGATGGATTGAGAGGTACGATCCATCACTTGCTTTTAGTCACTTGACTGTTCTTATTCATTTCCCTCTGAGGTGTAGATGGCATTTGCTCATCCTTCTCCATCCACACTCTCTTTTGTTAGCACCCTTCTCAGCTTGCCATGCGCATTTCCTCTCCCCTTTCTCCTGCTCCTGGAGTGGGCTCCCCTCCCCCTCCCCACCCCACTCCTCTGGCCATCCCCACGTTTGCTGAGGTCCAGGAAGCGCTTTCTCTTGCTCATGTGCTCGTGCTTCCTAACTCTGTTCTCTCCCTCTCCTTATTAAGGGCACAGAGAATTCAGCTTTCCCATGACTTTGGTAGGGTTAGCCAGGGTCTCCGCTGCCAGCAGAGCGAAGGCCTAGCCTGGGGCAGGTTGACTTCGGAATAAGGCCCACGTCCCACTGTGGGGCACTGCTCCGGGGCTCAGACCAACAGGAAGCCACATGTGAGTTTTCCTGTAGGCTTGTCAAGGACCTCCCTCCCTGTGGACACAACTTGCATTGCCATATCCCATATTTCTGCCCCTAGGAATATCCACCATTCGGATAAGCTTAACCCCTGTCTGTCTCTCTCGCGGAAATTGAACCTCACCCTACTGAGGCTTCTGCAAAGGCTGTTGTCCAGTGTGAGCAGAACTGATGGTAATTGCCATGGTAACCCCTTTACGTGGCTCCTCAGGAATCAGAAGTGTCAGCCAGAGCCTTCTCAGAACCCAGCCCGTGTCCTGAGAGCAGCACCCCTAACCAAGGGGAGAAAACGGCCTCTAGCTGAATTCTCAGGGAAAGCTGAGCCCTCCTCCTGCGGAGGTCTGCACCTGCCGTCATGTATGTCTTCTAGAAGCATATATGTTGATTGTGTAGTGGCTGAAGAGAAAGCTCTCTTCTCTGTAGCTGCATACAGCAAGTGAAGGGATTCTTTATAATGTAAACCCGACAAACCCCACGTGGGGACTTTACTGACTGTTGAGGAGGAGGGGAAGGGGGTTTATTTTCTGTGTGGGCACACCAGGGGGCAAGAAAATAAATGGAAAAATACCCATATTGCACCTTTCCTGTTCACGCCAGCCCACTTTTACATTATAAAGCATTTATAAGAACACTCAGGTCTCCCTCTGTAAGCCCAGTACCTGGATAGAGGGCGAGAGTTTGGGCAGAGGTTGGCTACGACTCTCCCGCACCCCACTGCCCTCCCGGCACCCCCCTTTCTGGGCCATATGGAGACACGGAGTGTTTGCCAACTATAAATATCCTGACTGTGCTTTTTCCTCTCTGAGGTTTCAAGAAAAGTCTGGTGAGTGACTGGATCTATGAAACCTTTCTCTTTTATCATTTTCTATCTGAAAAAGAGGAATTCTTCTGTTTGATAATTATTTTCCACTGAAAGAGCAGAACCTGCTTTTCCTGGTTTCCTCACACCCCGTTGCCATCACTCCTGCTTCCCGGCCTGCTGAGTGGGAAAGCAGAGATGGGCCAGCCTTGGCATTTCTGGGTATGTGCACATCGGGCACATCCCCCCACTTTGGGTCACCCCCAGAGTCAGCTTCCTTGTGGGGGGGTCATGTGGCCATGCTGCAGGTTGAGTTCATGAGCCTTACGGGAGCCTGCAGTGACGGCGATGCCGTCTGGCCCTCAGGTTTCCTGTCTTCAGTGCTAAGTGAAGGCTTCCAACTTTGGGGAGGTGGGTGGGCAGGGACAGGAGGGACCCCAGGGGAGGACAGGAACGTGTGTGGTTCTGACTCCAGCTCAGCACCCCCCCCTTCCCATTGCTCTACAGCATGTTGTTGGATTAGCTCAAGTCAGGTCGCCAGGTGAGCTGTCCCGGGTTGGATTCTAAGTGGTAAACTGACAGCCTACGATGTTTCTCAACACCAAACAGTTTAAAAGAAAAATACCTAGTAATTCTGCTCCCACCTCCTCCCCAACGTGGGTCTGTGCCTCAGTCAGAATCACCCAGGCTCTGGGCCACCTGATGCCACAGCTTCCCAGGGCCACTTCCCATCGTAGCAGGGCCTTAGGGAAGTTCAGGACTCCCTGGCCCGCGGGGCATCTGGGTCACAGCCGCACTTGGCCATTCATTGTTCAGTCCTTAGCCAGAGAAGGAAAACATGAGGCAATCTGCCTCTTGATGCCAGAAGGAACCAGAGTTCCCACATTAGCCTTTATTACATTCTTTTCATTGAAGTATGTCACTTTCCTGACACTTGACACTCTGCCCTCGACTCTAAGATGGGTCAGGTCTTCTGAATGCATTCAGAACCAGCCACACTGGCAGAGCTGGTTCTGAATTCATTCAGTGAAATACACAAACACAGACAATTTTAGATTTGGAAGGTCCCTAAGGAGCCCCAGAATATGGTACTCTGGTTCTGGTTTTGCATTTGAGCT